TAAAAAGGGGTAAGTATTTTCAGGTTTCTTTTTTTTTTAGACTCTTTTGTTTATTTCCTTTACATCCATACCTCTTGGTGCAGGGTCTCCACAAGAAGACTCTCCTAAGAGGGCTGAAATTCTGACTACTCTCAAGGACAAACAAAAGCAGAAAAAGAAAAGAAAACTGATACTCACTCCTGAGGAATCCGAATCCCAAATTGAAGAGGGAGAGATTGAGAAAGAGCAGGAAGTATCATTACAGAGACAAAAGAGGAAACATATGACTGTCGCTCCTTCTGATTCAATTGAAGATCCTACTCATGAGACAACTGCCAGAGTAGTAGAAAAGGCACTTACTTCTGATTAATCTGAATCCCGGCTCAAAGAGAGAGAAATTGAAAAGGAACAGGTAAGACCAATACAGAGAAAAAAGAGAAGGAAGATGACTGTCTCTCCTTCTGATTTGGTCGAAGACCCTATTCATGAAGCAGCTGCTAAGGTAGTAGAACAGGAGCATTCTAAGGCCATGATTGTTTTTGAGAGAGTTGAGAAAAGACAGCAGCAGCAATTCTTACGAGATGAAGCTGCTGCTGCTGATGCAATCCAAAGGGAAACTGCAAGGAGGCAACATATTGCTGAGCACTATTGCCTTCGGAGCTCTCCTATTGTTGCTATCTCTTCTGAAACAAGTAACTTCTTTCAAGCCTTTACTATTTTTTCTTGTAAAATTTTTTGGTATTGAGACTTGACATTACTTTGTACTTCTTCTTTTGTAGCAACAACTACTGAGCCTATTCTTCTAATAAGGACTCCCTCAGTTTCAGTTGAAGTTGATCAATTGCAAAATGTGAGATCCATCCAGATAATACTCCCACTTCCTAGGCCTACATTCTCTGTACCCTCCTTGAGGCCAAGTATTCCTGCATTTCTTTCTTTTGGCTTAAATCCATACCTCCCTTACTTGTCTTTTGATCTATCTCAATTTAATTCTCTTTTGAGCCTTGCTCTTCCTTCTTCTCCTAAAGAATCTCCAGCTATTACCTTCTCTTCGATGGTAGCTGATTCCCCTATAGAGGGTGCTGGCAGTTCTCCAACTCGTAGTTTATTACCTTTGCCTAGTTCCAGCCATTCTTCCCTTGATTTATTGGTGGCTAGAACCATGGAGACTACTGAAGATGCTCCACCCATTTCTCCTATCCCTATGCAGCTGTAGACACCCCATTTTTGACCGTCCTCAAGACTTGGACGTCACCATTTGAACACTCGGTGATTATCCATGTTTGTGTTCGTCTTGAGTTCCCGGAAGCCTTGGCAGCGCGCCTCGTCGCAGGACCTCTCGACTCGATTGTTTTGTGCTTGGTTTGATACCAAACACTTGTGTTTTGCCTTTGAGAGGCAGGGTAGGGCATGTAGACCATCCACACCCATCACCGGCCATGGCTTGAGGCCATCGGCTGTGTTTTGTGGCCACTGGCCAAATATTTGGCCGGCCGGCACTATAGATGGCCGGTCAGCTATCTTTTTTTGGTCAATTGCATCTTTGGCCGGCCGACTACTGTGCATCTGCTATTGCAGATATTTTGACACAGCTGTCTTGCATTTGGCTCCCCTCCATACACTTGTATGGAGGGATCTCTCTCTTTAGAAGCTTGTCTTGTAAGCTTTACAAGACAAAAAGCTCTATAAAGAGAGGTCTTCTGTCTTGTTGAGTGTGTTAGACATTTTAGATAGCCATTTTAGGGTTTGAGTTCTAGGGTTAGGGTTTGTCTATATCCTAGCTCTATATCTCTATTCCTCTTGTGTTAGTGTGTGTGTTTAGGCTCACTATTGCACACAAACACATAGTGTTACACCTTTTCTTGGTTCTGAAGGACCAGAGGTCTGTTCTTGGAGTTTTGGGGCTGGTTTAACCTCAAGGAAGCCGCTGGTCCACCATTTGTGAAGAAGGTCAACAAGGGTAACAACCTTCCCCCTTTTTACCCGATTCTTGCATACTATTTTTGCCTATCTTAGAACTGTTTTTGAGCTTAGTGTATAATATAAAAAAGTTCTGTTTTTGGGCCGTCTAAATAGTTTGTTTAGAGTGTTTTGTGGTTTGAGGTTGTTTGTCCCCTCTTAAGCCTTGTAAGGCTCCATTTTGTGCCATTTTGTGTGAGCTCCGAGACCTTGGTGTTTGGGCCTCCTCACCACTGAAATCTTGAGGGATTTCAAGGTGAGGATGGTGCCTTGAGGTCCCAAGAAGGAGAGGGCCACCCCCTCTCCTTGTTGTCCTTGAAAAGGACCATTTTTGGCCTCTTGAGGGAGCACCTAGCTTAGGCTCTTGTTGACCATGCCTTAGCTGATTTTTGTGCTTATTATGTCATAATATGCCTCTGTTTTTTGTTGGTTTTGGTACACCATGCATGCTTAGCATACCTACCTTATAATGCCATGTTTAGGCCTTAGCATGCCTTAGGTTGTAAACCATTGTTCTAGCATGTTTTAGGCCTAGCTTTGTGAAGCTTTTGTGCTTATTTTCCTATGTTTGAGGTCTGTCCTTAGTTGTTTGGGTTGACTTTGGCATACTTAGTATAGCTCCTTTGCATTTTTGGTGTGTTGGCCTTAAGTGTGTGAATGTATAGCATGCATCCTTGCCTTAATTTAGTGGGTTGGGACCATTTGTAGCATCATTTCAGTCCCTTTGACATGCTTGTATGCTTGCCTTGGACACCTCTTTAACGCTCTGAAAGCTTGTGTTATATGCTCCATGTTTTGGTCATTGTGCATGCTTTTGAATTCAAGCCATTTAGATGCCATCTAAGTGGTCTTTTGGGCTTCGTTTTATGTGCTGAAACTCTGTTTTGGTCATTTAAGTCTTGCCATGTGTGGTCATATCAAGTGTAGTTCAATACTTCATTAACTTGCCTTGAAGGCTTGGGCCATTTGTTGCATGTTTAGCCTATCTTGTTTGCTTGGTTTGGCACCATGTTCTTGCATGATTTTCAGAGCTTAATACATGACATTAGTCCATGTTTGCATCCTCTTAAGTGTGCTTGAGAATTGCTTTTAAATGCTTGAAGTATTGGATACCCATTGCATGCATGTGTGCGTGTGTGTTAGTCCTTCATTTTGGGCACTTTGGCCACTGTTTTAGGCTTAGTGAGGGCTGCCTAAACCATGCTTAAGTCCACCCTTTGCTTGTTTGCATGTTTGCCTCGCATATTTGCTTGCATAATTGCATGAATGCATTGCATTGCCATGTCGCATCCTTAGCTCACATGCCTAGGATTGCATTCCATTTGCATGCATGCTTGGCCTCTTGAAATGCTTGTGATAGAGGTTGAGTCCCATTGGTTTGTTCATGTGCATTGCATTCCATATAAAAAATGCACACTTGATTCTTTGGGCCATCACGCATTGAAATGAACACTTGGTGATTTTGTGTACCTAATGTGCATTGCATGTTTGTATGCTCTCTTTTATGCCATTTTGCATATTAGCTAACATGTTTAGGTTGCATCGCATTGAACATGCATGCCTTGCCTCTTGAAGTCAAGTGATAGAGGTTGGGCCTTTATGTGTTTATTTGGTTTGTATTTCATTTGACATGAAAATGCACAACTTGGTCTCTTGGACCATCACGCATTGAAATGCGTGATTGATTGCCCGAGAACCAAGGATCATGTCCCTTTGAGCCATACACATGATAAGGGATAGGGTTGGTGCATACATTGCTTGAAATGCATTGCCATGCCAAGTATTGCCCTCTGCTGCTGTCAAAACAGCTTTTGCAGGAACTTTTGTCCGATTGGCCACATTTAGTGCCGATCGGCCACCATTGTTGGCCGATGGACCAAAGTTGTGGCCGGTGACCATTCTGCATGGCCGGTGGTGTTCTCCTTCAGCCGGTGGTGTTTCCCAGCATCCACGGAGTAAACCCTGAGGCCTCGGCAGTCATCAGAGGAGTAAAGCAGGGAAAACAGAGGCATCTTGTGCATGGTGGCGGATTTCCGAGCAAAACCGAGCGCGCACTGCATTGGGCCTTCATCCCGGGACTGTTTATTGCTTAATTAGATCAATTAATTTGCTCAATTAATTTAGTTGGTCTGTAATAATTAATTAGCTAAGTTAGTTAATTGTATTATTCTTTTGGTCCCTCCAAGCGGGGGCTAATTTGTAATAAGTGTGGTTGCGTATGTGCATGTCTTTTAACCCCCACTTCTTTCTCCCTTTTACTTCATGCTTTTGATGGTTAGTATTAGGGCATATTTAAATTAGCAGACCTTATGCTATGCATGCGTGCATCCATACATTTGTCTTGCATGCACCGGGCTCGGCGCATCATACTAACTGCATTGTATTTCAATTCCAAGTTGAATACGTGCCAGTTGTAGCATCTCACATGTCATTGTAGATTAGCCGAGCCTATCTTAGTTGCATTTTGCATGTGTTGCATTAGCCATCTTAACATGAACTAGGATTATGCATATGATTACTAACTAGTTTCTGTTTTGGCTTGGATTACTCGGTGAGCATTTATGTTTTAGCATCCTTGCATGCGTGTGAGTGTTGCCATAACAGCATGATTACCATGACGCTAGCTGCTTATGTGATATAACTGCTTGGATGCCTGTGGATGGAGGTTGAATTACCTAAATTGGAATAATGCATTAAAATTGTGAGTTTTAAGCCCACTAGATAGTGGCAAAACCATCTTTTCTAAAGCTCACTTGAGGGTGGCAAAACTTGCATTTTAGCCTACTTGGGAGTAGCAAACCGTTTTCAAAACAGACATGCAATGTTTTGTTCCAATTTAGGCGATTTGATCTATACTTGTTTGTTGTGCGCATAACATAGTAAATCTAGGCTAATAACCGGAATAAGAATGCATAACATTTTCAAAAATGGATATCACGGTTAGTAGAGGCCGATCTTCGGATCGGGCGAGAGGGGGTGCTCATAGCTGACCTTCCCCAATCATACCCAAGCTCAATTCTTCAACATTGTGAACTTATAGTACACTTGAACTTGTACATATGTGAGCATGTAACGTAGCTTGTAACATACTTAAGCTTGTCTCGTACTTAAACTTGTAAAATACTTAAGCTTGTAACGTACTTAAACTTGTAACATACTTGAACTCATAACATGCGTATACTTGTAACATACTTGAATTTATAACATACATGGACTTATAACATACTTGGACTTGTAACATACATGAACTTATAACATACTTAAACTTGAAAACTTGTAACATTCTTGACTTAGAGCATACGTAAACTTATAACAGACTTAAACTTAGAACATACGTAAACTTATAACAGACTTAAACTTAGAACATACGTAAACTTATAACAGACTTAAACTTAGAACATACGTAAACTT